CCCCCTCCCTTCAATCCAGTATAGAGAGAATCGATTCTCCCCGAGCTGAGAAGTCAGGAGACGACGGTGTCGAGATATTTGTAAGGGAATTAAAGCTCAAAAGACACAGAGACGGTCAAAATTGTAATTGTCCAAAACAGCCACCCATTGTAGAGGGAAAAATGACATTCTTAGACAGGTGGAAGTCACGCATGCGGGGAAGTGGTCGTTGAAACAGGTGATGCTCCGGGAAAGATGGTTATTAGAGCAGATTCGATTGTATTGTTCTAAGAAGAAGAAGAAGAAGAAGAAGAAGAGATAAGGATGATTAACATTTGATAGAAAAAAGGAGGAGAGAAAGGGGTGACAGATGTTTAATAGGAAAGAAGGAAGAGCGAAGAGGACAATACTTGTAATTATTTGATAAGAAGGAGGGGACAGAGAAAAGAACGATAGTGTTTAATAGGAAGAATGGGGAGACAGAAAAGGATGAATGATCTGACTTTGACCATGTCTGTTAGCTTTAATCCTCTTTCTTGTGCCCTCACACCGCGCTTCTAGTGTGTATAATCTACATGGACATGCTTGGCTTGTGTAGAATTCAAGTCTCTATAAACCCACCCACGGGGTTATATACAGGTTATACAAATTGGTTTACTGGGATGTTAACTCAAATGACTTGTCCTTGAGTTGACCGTACCGGCGTCTGCGCGGTGTTAGTTGCCCACGCGATTTGCTTCGCGCGGGAGATAATCTACGATTCCAATTCTTACTCACCAAAGAGGTTATGATAATTGTTATTATAGTTCTACAGCTCGTGGTTGTGACGTGACCCACATAATCGATCGGGAGGGGGGAGGGCTGTGTGTGCAAACTATGGGACGCTGGGCGTTGAGAAGGATTGTACAGCAAACCCGTCAGTACTTTTCGAGACTCATGTGGAGACGACGTCAAGACGGTTTTAGGAGAAAATCTACAAGCTTGCACTGAAATGTAGGGGCAGGATGTTGTTTAATAATATGCTAGGGCTCGTGGGGATCGGAGTGAGGGCTCTGATTCTTCATCAAGTAAACTAGGGCGCGTCGGTCATGCTGTTGAGGACACGATGGCCCCAATGTCTGACATGTAACGTTACTGTTGCTAGCTCTGGTGCTATATACTATTACCTCTTTAGTATACACATTTAATGTATTCATTGAACATCTTCATGTCTGGCTAGCGTGTATCTCACTGGCTCCTAAAGGTGTTTCCTGAAGGCAGGGCCGGGGCAAGATGCATTCTTAATGACCTAAGTTGTATTGATCATGATGTAAAAATGCAACATGATATTAGAAAAACATTAAGTTTTAATGCATGATTTATAGAAAAAATGAATGACACTGAAGTCAACTAATAGAGGTAGAAGATTGGGGAATATAACGCAAATAGAGGGAGAGGTGGGGGGGCGGAGAAAGGAGAGAGTGGAGA